AGTAAAAGCGCTTTTAAACGCCCAACACAAGAAATCCCATGGTTTTCAATGGCCCTTGTTCACACCTAAGCAGCAAAAACGCCAAACGCAGAAAAAAGTACATGAGCTTCTTTTGGCATTTTCAAGCTTGTATTTCCCCCATAGTCTTCAATGGAAACTCCAGGAAACACACAGCAGAAGCATGCTGCCCGTTTTTGTACGTTCGTCCATTGACAGCAATGTTTCCTCAGCTGCCAGTCAAAATGTGCATCTTCATGTATGTGCGTTTTCACATACGTAAAAATTTGCCAAACGCGCAAATAACTGAATTACTAAAAGGGTTGAGAATGTTAACACAAAAAAAAAAGTGTGTAAATATTCACTTTATTAGTAGGGCTGCAACAACTAATCGACAATTGAAAAAGTTGTCAACTTTTTCAATCATCGATAAATCGCCTTCTGATTGGTTGGTCCTGTTCACGGCTCCACACACGCTGCGCGCCACACCTCCTCTCCACCTCACCGCTGCCAGACCCGGCCGCATCCACGCTCCACACCTCCTCCCCGCCCAAATCCACGATTGGCCCAGGGATGCGGTGAGAAGTAGTAAGGAGGAGCAGGTGTGAGGGGATGACAGCCACCGATAGACAGGCCCGATCTCAGAAGCAAGTTGCTGGAAGACTGCTAAGCAAGACTTCCTCTATAGCTGATGGTACATTATGCTCTATATTATACAGCGCAATGTACCATCAGCTATAGAGGAATAGAAATCCCAGCAATACATTGTACACTGTATAAATAATGTATTGCTGGGATTTGTTGTATTCCTATATAGCTGGTGATATTCTGCATTGCACTGTATAGAGGACTACAAATCAAGGAATAATACATTATACAGCGCAATGCAGAATACCACCAGCTATAGAGGACTACAAAACCCAGCAATAGTACATTATACAGTGGTGCAATGCCGAATACCACTAGCTATAGAGGACTACAACGCCCAGCAATACATTATACAGTGGTGCAATGCCAAATACCCCCAGTTATAGAGTACAAAACCCAGCAATAGTACATTATACAGCGCAATGCAGAATACCGCCAGCTATAATGTACTATTGCTGGGATTTGTTGTATTCCTATATAGCTGGTGGTATTCTGCATTGTGCTGTATAATGTACTATTGCTGGGTTTTGTAGTCCTCTATAGCCGGTGCCATTCTTCATCGTTGCTGTATAATTTTTTTCACTTTTCATTTCACTATATTGTTACCCACACTTTTTTTTTTCTTTTTTACTTCCTCTGCTCCAAGCTTGCTCCTGTGATGGACTGCAATCTCAATACAAACTAGAAGCCCCATCACTGGAGCCATTTTTTAAAATGTATTTTATTGTTTATCCAATTAATCGAACTTAATAAATCGGCTAACTAATCGATTTTGAAAATAATCGTTAGCTGCAGCTCTATTTATTAGCCAATGGTGTGAATATGAAATTCCTGTTTGCTTATTTCATCTGGATATGATTGAAGTGAATATTCACAACATTTAATATGTGAATGAATATCCTCAACTCCTTTAGTAAATTATCCTAATTAAGTCGCCGACATTGACACTCTTATTGCAGGGGATTCCTAAACTTTAACTTGCATCAGTGCAGACTTCTGGGAAAATCAGTGAGTCAATCACTGGGGCAGGAACTTTCAGTGGCATTTTGCTCACCCAGTTTGTACAGCCGATTAGGGCTATACACAGCCAAATATCAGCATACTTCTGCGGCTTGGATCACAAGTGTTTGTTATCATCCGCAGCCAGGAAATCCGTACAAATCAAGGAGAGGCTGACAGGAGCCGCGGCTGTCCACGTGAAACCACACACCTGTGATCCCAGCAACAAATCATCAGCCCCATAAATAAGGCCTTCGAAAATTAGAGCTGCTGCAGAATGGAAATAGGAGTCAATTTTAATAACATGAAATGACAAGCCGGCTTGTGTAGCAATTATATATGCTACATTAATTTATAAGCAAAAGTTGTTTTTTCCTTGGATTTTAAAATATAAAAACATGAATCATGAAGATGGTAATTTGTTAATACACACTGCATTGTTTAGGAGAGGCAAAAAAGCAACAAGTAGAATACAATCAGTTAATACGACAACAATGACATATGTACAATCTCACTAATCCTACAAGCAGCTGTCACATAGCTAATGCAGATGTTGAAAGGCAAATGAATATCGCATAAATACTTAATTTAAAAAAACATCACGTGTTTACTCTTTGTTTGTAAGTACACTTGAAATGTTTTATCCTCTACCAATGTTTCTTATTTTCTAAGCACATCATGATTCACCTGTGCAACAATCAGAAAAAAGTAGGTTTACCCTAAATAAACAGTATATAATACACATTGACTTGATTAAATATATAGATGCTTACACAGTTGAATGATTGTGCACTTGTACCTCGTTAATAAGCTTTTTAGCAACTAATATGCAACAAAATAAGTGGAAAGTCTGTAATCCCTTTTTAAATAAGATGTTTTATATGAGAATTTGCCAAAATTAGTGGAGTTCCTTTAGATCTGCATACATGTAGGTTTCATCAGCTTACACAGGTTATTGGAGAATTTCATCATTTCACACACAAAAAATAAAACGGTTTCTCTGTACGCAGAGTAGTGAAGAAAAGCAAGAGTGACAATCCTCTGGGAAAACTCTAAAGATTGATACCATTAAGAATAAAAAAAAACAACAAATCGGAGTGACAGTAACTGGGGCAGTCACAATAAAACACTTGCTCGGCCATGTGGGTTATGGAATGCAGCATCAAACTTTGTCATTGTAGGTATACATCAAAAGGGATCTTTGTTGACACAGATCGGAGTCCTTAGTATTTTCTATACCAGCCTTTCTCAGATAAGTGACCTCTGACACAAATGATCTTTATAGCGATCAGTAATTGGAGCATTATTCCCACTAACCATCAATGTAAAGAGCATTCTTTCCCCTGACCGCCATGCTAATGTGCCATGACCTGTAGATAGAGTAGTTATTGGCTGGGGTTCCCAGAGATTGGAAAGTTATTTCAAGAGTTCCTCAATGTTAAAAGTGACACTAAACTCAGATGTTAAATCTTAAAACTGCATTCAAGTACCTTAACTATTAACAACATTGTATCTTATTTGTGTATCACTCAGCTGTAGATCCTCAAATCCTCTCTGAATTGGTGCTGACACTGTCCTTCCTTCTGGAGGGTGGCTACTTTTCTTCCCCATGGTCCCTGTGTGTGTTGTAAAGTAGTCACCACTCCAAGCTCGCTCCTGGGATGGACTACAATCTCAATACAAATTAGTAAACTAAACATGAGATTCTAGTCCATCACAGGAGTGAGCTTGGAGCGATGACTACTTTACAACACACACAGGGACAATGGGGAACAAAAGTAGCCACCCTCCAGAAGGAAGGACAGTGTCAGCGCCAATTCAGAGATGATTTGAGGATCTACAGCTGAGTGATACACAAATAAGTTACATTTTTGTTAATAATTAAGGTACTTGAAAGTATTTTTAAGATTTAACTCCTGAGTTTAGTGTCAAAGCCAAACACGTGCCAAGAAAACATACAATTTAGAAACAAATTTCCAATTTGCCTTTTGATACCAATTAGGACAATGAGGCAAAGCAAAACAGTTACAATAAAAAGGTGCCCATACACTGTACGATTCTCGTACGAGAATCGCGGGAAATCCCGCGATCGTACGAGAATCGTACAGTGTATGGAAGGCGTGCGACCGTTTCTACTGTGCGGTCGCACGTCTTTTGTCGGACCAGCATGTTCGAAAACCCGGCGAGAATCGTACGATTGTCGGCGGGTTTCTAGCCGGCTCGTTCGATAGCTGTGGTACGGGCCGGTGTGCGCACGCGCACACTGCCCGTTCTGCATTGCGGTCATCGGAAACCCGCCCCTCAGCGGGGCGGGCTTTCGATGATCGCAAGTACGATCTGCCCGTTCAAGGTGGGCCGATCGTACGAGCTTTCAATAAGCATACGACCATCGCAAGACAAAAGTCTGGGCACCTTAAGCCTCACATAATGAGGACTCAGTCACACAGGTGCAGAGTTCCACACACCATAAAAAAAACGGCAGCATCTCTGTTGCAAAGGATAAGGGAGGGGTGGGGTATTAAAACTGGAGCAGTTGCCTGGGGCAACCAATACGTTTCTCTCTTCAATTTGTTCAGTTAAACTTTAAAGGGAAAAAAAAAAAAAAAACACACACAAAAGCTGATTGGCTGCCATGTACAGCTGCTCCACATTCTGTCTGCTCCAGTTTTGATAAATCCCCCCCCCCCAAAACTGTTTAGATTCTCTCTTCAGGCAGAGTTTTCCCTTCACTTGTTCTAGGTGTCTGATATGCTTCCAGACAGTAGAAACCGGTTTGCAGTTATAATAATCAAATTTCTTGCTAAAGATTGCAGGTGACAAAGAAGTAAAAGGAAATCAGTGACATCCGCATGAAAGAAACAGTGAAGAGCATCACTGAAAAAGGGAGTCTATTGCCTGCTAGGTGTGATGGTTCAAGCTAGGTCATCAGCTAGGTATAGGAGTAGTGGAAAGAGCTTCAGACATAAAAAGGCAGAAGTAGAAAGTGAAAGATGATGGCAATGGATCCAACGTCATGTCGGAGAATTTCAGAACAAATAGTGACACAGCACCATGTACACAAGTCAGACAGGAATCCACCAATCACAGGACATGGACTATAGTGGGCCAGTCCTGAAACTACATGCCACACACATGACACCAGGCCTGCAGACAGTGCTCTGGGTACATGATAAACACATGTTGTAAATAGAGAGTAAAGAGCAAAGTGACAGTCCCCAGGGCACAGAATACACTGCCAACATGGACTGGTGTCAGCAGTGACAGCTCTCGTGTTGCACAGATCACACATATATAAAAAAAAAAGACAATAAAAGCGATCACAAGTACACTGCTATTGTCATGAATGGGATTCTTACCAGCGAGAAGAGGTTCGAGTGGCAGTCCTCCAGGCTCGCCCCGTTGGCTGCCCAGTTCGCCGCTGCAGTCATGATCCTCCGGGAGCCTGGCTAGCAGAGCTGGGCATGTCTGAGACCTAAAATTCTGGATCCGATCCGAAACGGGGAGGAGAGGCAGCCTGCCGACCAGGCCTAGGCCTGATCCTTCGGGTCTTGGGGAGACGGACAAAAAGCCTCGCTCGGGAGAGCAGACAACAACAGCGGTGGCGAAATCACAGGCGCCGATTGGGTGTCACCATGTCCCCGTGCAGGAGCTGATCGGCGGACAAATCACATCGGCCAGACTAGCCCGAGAATCGGGCGCGGAGAAATGAGTCACCCGGGTGGGGGAGGGGCGGCCTGAGGCCGTGGGATAACACACACACAGAAGGAGGAAGAGGTGGGGAAGGAAGCGCCGCGGCCTCCCCCTGCTTGTCAGGGAATGTAATACCAGTGAACGGGGAGGCTGCGCGGTGCCAGGAGGAGCCCGGGCTCCGGCTTGTAGATAGTGACGCGCCGCCTCTCAGCGGCTTCAGTCTATAGGCGGCCAATAGTGGGCTGCTTCGGCTTCTCGCCTGTGTACCCCTTGCGGCGCCGACAGGGGGCGCTGTGTGCATGGGAATCCTTACGCTTCCATTCTCCGCTGTCGACCGCGGCTATTGTTGTTGGAATCGTTAATGTTATTAATTGTTTAATTAGAATTTCGACGGAAGGAAATAAGCGAGGCCATTGAGCTTATTCGCGATCTTACTCATAGCTTATTGCGTGCCTGAGCGCTCCCCGATCAGCTCTTTCTATCATTAGAGATAATTGTGTAAAGCTATGTCTGCCCTCAGTGCTTCGCGATGGATGGGAGCTCAACAATGCATGGGAGGAATAGGCGCACAGAGTGGAGGAAAGGCAGAAGCATCTCCTCCACCTAATTGTCTGCTCCCAGGCGTGCTGCACACTGTCACCCTGCTGTTCATTCTAGTGCTGTGACTAATGGATCTGCCCTACATTACATTATCACCTCTATTCTGTAGCCACAGTATCCGATCAGCCATAGAGAGCCAACGGATTGTGCCATGACTCCTGCATGATAGTGTTGTCAGATGAATGATGTCATCGGCTATTATTAGAAACTTTGTTGTTCATACTAGTGGTGGAAGAAAAATCGGCATTACACAAGTTTAAATACATTTTGTATACTAGAATACCCGGCTTCGGTGATGGGTAGACCCACCTCAGGTATCTTTTTATCACCATTGGATAGGATAATGTCATAGCTCAATCAACTCGAATTTAAAGCCCAATTAAACCTGTTTAAATCAGTTAAATACATTTCAGATGCAACAAAAGAAAAGTCTTACAGTTCGTTTTTTTAGAATGCAGCCTCCACCTGAGTAGAACAGCCTTTCCCCTGCCAGAGTGGGTCCTGCAGAAGGCCAATATGCCCCCTGCTAAGTTGCACCGTGCAATCAGCATATGCTGTCTGCTCTGACTCCGCAAGGAGTGTGTCAGACCTTGGCAGAGAGACCACTGCTTTCCCAGAGAGAGTAAGGGTACCACTCTGCAACATGCTGGCAAGGGATAGTATGTTGGAAGTATGTTTCTAAATGGTATATGTTTTCTTGGCATGTGCTTGGCTTTATCTACTACCTGAATGATTTTGGGGTATAGAACAGCCTGTCCTCTGCCAGCGTGCTGCAGAGTGGGCCCATTCTCCTCATGGGGAAGCACTGGTCTCTCTGAAGGAGGCCAATACACCCTCTTCTGAGTTGGACCTTGCAATCAGCACATGCTGATTGGAGAGCTCTGTCTCAGCAAAGAGGGCCTGTCAGGGTACCTGTGCTATCACATAGTGGGATTGTTAGCCTCCTATGTGACAGCAATAACAAGTGTGGGAGAGAAAAAAGTCACATACAAAAATGTAATTTTGAAGCCCCCCATGTATATGCATATATAAACATAAATACGCATCAGGTGCGCCAACGCGCAAAAACGACAGTTGCGCTACACATGTTACATATCACCGCAAACGTCGGAGTGTGAGCAATACTTTTAGTGCTATCAAATCACTTATAACACTAAACTGATGAGCGGTAAAAGCTTTTAAAGCGCTGCCTATGGCCAATTTTGGGTATGGTAGTTTTTGAGGTTTCGCGGGCACGCACAATTTTAAGGCTTGCATGTTTGGTGTCTATTTACCCGACGTGACCCCGTCTTTAATATTTTACCAAAAAATTGTCTAATAATAAATGTTTTATAATTTAATATAGGGGAAACTTTTTTTTTTCAAAATTTACGGTACTTTTTCATTATATAGTAAAAAATAAAACCTCCCCAGTGGTGATTAAATATCCCCCAAAAATGGTATAAAATGGATTTCAGTACAGCGTTGCATGACGGAATACGGAATAAATGTCAGTCAAAGTACAGCAGTGCTGAATACTGAAAAATGGCCTGGACAGGAAGGGGTGTAACACCCCGGTCAGCAAGTGGTTAAATATCATGCCAGGTGGGTCACCTTAAACTGCCTGTGAAGTGGCACATCTGTACGATGTATAGAACCTGCTGCAGCAAGAATGACATTTCTAAAGAAAAAAAAGACATTTAAATTGCTGGTAATTGGTTTTCCCTTAATCTTATAAACAACTGCTTGGGGCGGCAGGCTGTATGAAGAGGCCACATTTTAGGACACTCCGAACAAGGTTAGAGATTTTTTTGGCTAAATTCTGGATTCACTTTTGCAGACGTTGGATGAAAGTAACAACAGGTGCTTTAAAATTGGGCCTTTAGCGTTGGCGATGCCTTCACACCGTAAACTTCTTGACGAGTCCAGGATTGGACCCTGCTGTAAAAATTCAAATTATATATTCCTGTCACACACCTGTCTCCTTGTTGGCCTTCCAGACATGATGTGGGGTTTATTATAACATTTTATTAGAGAATGTAGGATGGGAAATTGGTGCTTGGGTGCAATATTTTATTGAATGTGGTGCTTGGTGCACTATAAACTGTTAAAATTAAAAAAGAAGAAATGGGAACACCAGTGACGCCACTGACACACACACAAAAAAAACAGTGAATATACAGCACAGAAAATAATACTATATACAGCACAGAGTACTGTACATAGCATTAAATGCTGTATAAAGCACTGACACTTCACTACACTGACGCCAGTTAGCTTTCACTGCACTGCACTGACAGAAACACTCTATATTAAACTCCAACAACAAACTACATAAGGCTGCCATGTAAGCTGCCTTGTATAGTGTGGGGCTGGGACTTAAGTCATCATTACTTTGCCCAATCATGACTCTTCAGTGCACACAGTGCATTGCGGGGCGCTCGGCGGGCAAACAGCCAGCTGAACGCCCTGACAGTTTGTGTGTTTGCCAAGCACACGAACTAGCGATGTTCGAGTCAAACTGTTCGACTCAAAACATTGATCACATCCCTATTGCTTGGGTACCCCATGTGGTTGTCTGCTTGCTACCTCTAATGTAGATTTCACAAAGATTATAATGTCTGCGAATCTTGAAGAAATTATACAATGAGATTTTACTTTGTGGCTGGTTTAGGCGTGTCCAGCAAAAGAGCATCAAAAGAGCATCCAGGGCTAGGCTTTTGGGGTGACTTTCTACTTTCCTTCCAACTTTCGCTGGGGGACACAGCATTGGACCTTTGGGCATACACTCTGGTTTTAGGAAGATGGACACTATGCAATCAAAAGGTACTCCAACCGGCCATATTTCCCTGCACACAATGAGCTTGGTGTCCTTAGTTGGTAGGTAAGCAATCTCTCCCCAGATCTGCTGGTTAAAGACCCTGCACTGAAAAAATGTAACATAACCATTTATCACATACTGCTGGCACTGTCATATCAGAACCCCCCAGATCCTGAATATCTACTCCAGCAGCCAACGTAAGTTCCTGTGTCATATCAGACCCACCAAATCCAGAGACCCACCACAGCAGCCATCCTACTTGTGTTTCATACCAGACCCCTAGCTAAGAACATATGCTGCAGTGGCCACTTTCCAGCTCGGTGTCCTACCAGACCCACAGATTTGTATATTTTAATGCTTTGCTTCCCTAATAGTGATAAGTAGGCTTTGTACAGAAGTGTTCCACTGGGCAAGGGAATGGGGTTCCAAGGCCTCCTTTTAGTAGGTCCCCCTATGGCGTGTGGTCAAACAGCAGCCCTAATTTCCCCCTTACAAGCACTTCTGTGGCAAATGTATACACCAGTAACCCTCTGTTCTTTGCTAGCAGTATGCCAGTTTTCTTGCCAAATTCATAATATGAACATTTGGTGTAGAGCATTTTGACCTCTGAATGTAAAGTTTGATGAATAAGTGTTCTATGAAATGAAAACAACGTTCTGCTAAATATTACAACCGTTAAAGGCTTGAAACAAGCTTATGGCTGGCTGCATTGTCATTTGTGAGCTTTTGTTTTGTAAAATTCGACATCCAGCTTTCTTTCGACCAATATTCTTGTACAGATTGTGAAAATCAGAGAGCATTCAGTCCCATTTGTGAAGCTAGTCACAGTGTGCTGGTGCTCTAGGTTGCCTCAAATGCAGATCAGGGACTCTGTTTCTGATCTGTAACTTTTGGATACAGAGGAGGCATCGGGGTCTAAGAGAACTCAAATAATGCCTTAAAGCCCAACTGAACTTTTAGATTCACTCGGCTTAATTCATTCCAGCTACATCAACACAAAAGGAGTGCAAAGTCTTACAGTTGGTTTTCTTTAGAAAGAAGCCACGTCCTGAGTAGAAAAGCCCTTGCCAGCGTGTTATTGAGAACCACTCTCACTCTGTATGTGGTAACAGCAGTCTTTATATAGAAGTCCAATACTCCCCTAGTCAGAGCTAGAACACTCCAATCAGCAGTGAGCATTTGTTTTGCTGACTGCAGAATTATAGGTCTGATTTAGCAGTGTGTGTTGGACCTCTGCAGAGAGACTACGGCTTCCATACAGAGAGCAAGCGTCTGTCTCTGCAGCATGCTAGCAAGAGACAGGCTTTTTTTCCCCCTCATGGTGTGGCTGCTTATTAAGCTTGCATTGGAAATCAATTTGAGGGTCTTTTGAATCCCTTTTGGAAGTTCTCTTTACCTGCTTCTAGACTCCTTTTCAACATGCATTAACAACCCCTTTCACTTTAATGGTGAAAAAACTAGTTTTGTTGTCT